CTTCGATCAAAATCAGTATGCAGCTTACAAGAAAAAAATGCTCGTATATTTATTTCTTTAAGAAAAATTAGACCAAAAGCGAAGTGCTTTTTCAAGCAACAGAAATAATGAAAAATTATTCTTGTGATTTTTCTTAAGATCCGTATTCTAAGCTTAAAGGTTTAAAAACAACGTAGAATCGACTATAGGTATGTATGTATGTAAGGGTGGATCAATGTGTATGGGATATTTTTTCGACTATGCGCGTAAGGCACACAAGGATTCTACGTGTAATTCTAGGAAAATTTTCTGAAGAAACCATGGGTCTAAAATCTATTTGCAGTTTGCCAAATTGCGAAAATAGGCTTCTTAGCATTTTGTTGTATTGCCGTAAAGAAGTGCTTAAATTTTGTATAAAAACATGCTTAAGGGGTTTTTGGTATGAGAAATCCACTTCCGAACTTATCTTTATCTTAAAAATTTCATCAAATGGCGCAACAGTGAAAATTTTCACATTTTCTCCGAAACATATTTTCACAATTTGGCAAACTCCAAATTATATTTAGACCTATGGTTTTTTCTGCAAATTTACTTAAAATTATGCCATACGCCTACAGTTAAAAAAAAAATTGACCCGCCCTAATGTATGTACATTAGAGTATCTCCTTAAGGCAATCATAATGTGTGATCTCATGGCTTCCACCAAAATATTTTGCCACAATTCGGTGTCATTCGTGAGCTGAAGTGCGTATAAACATCCCCTGCGTTTTTCGCTATACAATTTTTAGCCGGAACGGTCAGTTTTACAGTTAATATCTTTGATATAAACGAATGTAAATTTAAGAAGATCCAGTTACATTAAAAAATCAAAATTAAGAAGCCTCTCAACATATTCAAAGTAATGGAATCCTAAATACAATTTTCGGCATGGACATCTGCAAAATTCAGTAATTTCTGAACCAATTCTTGAGCTCATGGAAAGGTACTATGTAAACGGTATTTCCTACTGCCATCAACCTTTTATTTCCCAGAAGATAATTTAGGTAGGTCTTCTTAAGCGAAGCCATCCTAAGAGGCCTACCCAAGAAGGGCTGAAAAAGTACTTCCTTGCATGCCTTCTAGAAGGGCTTATCCATTTACAATTCACGCGCATGCATAAATGTATATTATTTAACATTACAAATGAATTCCAATAAAAATTTTAAGTTACAATAACACATATTTGATATAAACCTTAAGCAAATACTTTAAAGATTTATGATTTTTATAAATTAAAGAAGCAACTTTAAAGAACTCCTCCAAAAGGCCTTCTGAAGTACGTCCTATAAAAGCCCTTCTGGAAGGCCTTCTATGGGTAGCGAAAGAGGAAGCCCTTCAATTTGTGCCACTCCTTACAAAAAAGAAAGGAGAAGGGAATGTAGAGAGGAAGGCCTCTTGATTCTCAGGAAGGCCTTTCGGAAGGACTTTTAACTCCTTAAATTATCTACTGGGTTCTTTGAAATTCTTCGGTTCAACACGTATTTAATCATGCCCCGGATACTGTTAGAAACATTTCTGACTAAAAACTTTAAAGCCGTTTTGCTCGCATTTCTGACGTTTATAAGTTATGACGTTCGTTTACCAAACAAGCTACATATCACACCCTAAATCAAAAATAGTCACAACTCAAAAAATTCTAAATGCTCAGGAGAGCAAAAAGCTGTTGAAACGAAGCAAGAAAAATAAACAAAGTCTTGGTAGTATTTTGCCATTTAAAGAAGATGGTGATGAAGAAGAAATTTTAGCGTTAGATATACGGTCTGTGAACGATTTTATAGAACAAATCTATTTTGAAAATTTTTGAGTTATGACTGTTTTTGATTTAGGGTGCGACATGTCTTACTACAATCCCTCTCTCCACCACCTCGAGCTCTTCAAATGCTCGCAATGGCATTAAGTTTTGTTTGTAAAGTAACGCATCAATCTACTTCAAACGTAATTTTTAATATAACAACAAATCAGCGCTCAGGAGCACTTATTTTCCTAAGCACAATCCCTAAGCTTAAAAAACAAACACAGACACCAGATCCAAAGTGAATTAAACTCAAATACGAGCAGATCAAGCGCGGAACCGCAAGTGGAATTTATGCAGAAGCAAGAATGAAACCAATGAAACGTAATTATCTTTTTTTAATTGTTTTTCTTTTTCCCCGAAAGCCTCAGGCCAGAAATACGCTAAAGTGCTTATGTAAATGCGATGAAATTAGAATGCTACTTTGAAGCAGAATGGGAAGCTGAAAATCCACAATGTTTTTTAATGGAAAAAGTTTCAGCCGACGCAAGTAATGAAGATAAGATAATGTGCGGATATCCTTTGAATTTTTTTTATTCAAAATGCGTAGCAGTGATGTACAGTGGGGGTGGTAAGGAAGCGTTCAAGATATAAATGAAAAGTCTACGCAAAAACAACAACATACCAGGTAGGCGGACAACAACAAAATAGACGCCAGAAAGAACGCTATTGATGATAGCTGCAAGCCACAAATATAAATTGAGTAAAAGCAAGGGCCTAAACATCATAGCCAACGGCCAACAAAGGACCAAATGTAGTGGAAGAGACTGAAGATGAGGCAATGTAAAGTTTGAGGAAATTGAGATGTTGGTCGGTTGATAAATGAGACTAAATGTGGGTTAACGCAACGTTTACCCCTCAGGTATTGGGTGCAAATAAAATTTATGATGCTAGCAGCCGAAGACAAATGCATAATGGTGGCTAACACTCCAAACACAGAGGGAGAGGAAGAGTAAAGTGAGCTAGAAGCGGTGTAAGGTAAACAAAAAACGGAAAGCATTTAAGGCCTCCGAATGCCAACAGCAAAATCTGATATGCATAATGCGAATGCGAAATGAATGAGCAGCTAATACAAGTGAGAGTTCAGCTAATTTTTATGTCAACGACAGACCTTTGCTAATGCCACTCTTGGGCATACAGAGAAACGCACACAAGCACACTAGCTGTGCAATGTTAAGCATACATTGGGGCAAATTACAAATCGAGTTAAGGTGTTAAAGGTGGCAGTCAGCAATGTATGCGATGAAAGGCATGGGGCAGGCATGGAGACAACCGCCGATGGCTAAAAGCAAATGAATCAAAACGAAATTATGCGTAGCACAAGATAAACGAGCAAATAAAAGTGAAATTAAGAAAGCACCTGTCGGCGGAAAGAGCGACAGCGAAGTCGGCGCAACAACGCCAGGAGGAGTTGCGAAACGCAGTAAACGAAGACAGGATTGCGAGTCGCGAATGGCAAATACGAAGTGAAGATGTTGCTGTCAGTTGTAGGTGGCAAGGTTCTTGCCCCCGCCTGTGGGTGAGAGCGTGCTTGTGTTGGCAGTTGTGTCATCAGTCGGCAGGCAGGTCGTGCTGGTGTTGACAGTAAATAAAAAATGTGATTTGTATGACTAGCAGCGAAGCAAATCTAAATGTAATAGCAAAGAAAGACAGGCACAGATGACGCTGGATGTGATGAAGATGGCAGAGCCGCAATGAGCACAGAGAGCATTCGGCGTTCAGCTGTCATTCGCTAATGAAATGCGTATTAAAGTTAATTGAAAAGCTTATTTATTTGCATGTTAAACTTGGCTTTGTCTGTCTGTTTGTTTACTAGTATTTATTGAAAAC